CGGAGCGCCATGCGCGGTTCCCGTCTCCCTATCCCTCGGTCAGACCCACACTCGGAGCGCCGCGCGCGGTTCCCGTCTCCCTGTCCCTCGGTCAGACTCGCACTCGCGGATTCCCTCAGCTCATTACCTGGAGGGCAGAGTTCATGAAGCATGTATTCCCGAGGTTACTCAGCCCGCAGATCCCAGGCTGACCCTGGTAGTAGCAGCTGTGATTTTCTGGCGAGTTTCGCCTGGCAAAGAGAGAGCAGGGTCACCATCAGCCCCCTCACAGGGAAAAATAACACTGTAGCCCAAATAATTACCCCCCACACGGTGACGGGACGGGGGTCTGTGACTGTGTTCCCCCCCCCACCCCCCCGAAAGCGTACTCACGTCGTGTGTAGTCGTGCAGTTGGCCAGGTCCCGTCGTCGCTGCGCGTTTCCATGACGATCGCCTGTGACGGATAGACACCATTACCGATCGCGCGGTCTCCCCGACACACGCACACAAACCCTCCGACCCTCGCAAACCCAGCTCCAACTCCACCCCACCCCCCCAAAAAAACGTCTGACGGTCCTTACCTGCCCCGAGCAGAGACACAAGCTGTTCAGAGTTGCCTGAGTGTTCCTGAGCCTCTCGTACGAACCGTCCTCGTTGTGCGCCCACAGTCTCGTCTCCTCCTCAGGGGCCACCTTAAATATCCGCCTCGCCTCCTTCTGAACCTTGTCTGCACCCCCCCACCACCCCCCCCATCAACCCACCGGGGGGCAGGAGGAAAGAGACAGAGAGAGTGGGGTGTAGGGGATTGAAAGGAGCGGAAACAGCACTTCAATTATTTCTCGAATCGAGGCGCACAGCGCAGAAACAGACCCTTCGGCCCAACCAGACCTTCCCGACCCCCACGTCTCGCCATCTAACCTCGTCCCGTGCCTGCCTGCTCCTGCCCCATCTCCCTCCAAACCTTTCCCATTCATGTACTTATCCAAATGTCTTTTAAACGTTGGAACTGTACCCACATCCACTACTTCCTCTGGAAGCTCATTCCACACACGCACCACCCTCTGTGTCAAAAAATTTCCCCCCCATGTCCTTTTTAAACCGTTTCCCCCCTCTCACCTTAAACCTGTGCTTCTGGTTTCGTTATTCCCACCACCCTGGGGGGAAAAGACCTTGGCTATTCATCCTATGCATGCCCCTCATGATTTTATAAACCTCTGTAAGGTCACCCCCCTCACCCACAACCCGTCCCCCGCCCCGCTCCAGAGAAAATAGTCCCAGCCTCTCCTTATAACTCAAACCCCTTCATTCCCAGCAACATCCTGATAAATCCCTCCTGAACCCTCTCCAGTTTAATAATATCCTTCCTATAACAGAACTGGGCACAGTGCTCCAGAAGAGAACATAAGAACTAGGAGCAGGAGTAGGCCGTCTGGCCCTTTGAGCCTGCTCCGCCATTCAATAAGATCATGGCTGATCCTTTCGTGGACTCGGATCCACTTACCCGCGTTCTCCCGTATCCCTTAATTCCTTTGTTGTTCAAAAAAAATCTACCTTATCTTTAAAAACATTTACTGAAGTAGCGTCAACTACTCCACTGGACAAGGAATTCCATAGATTAACAACCCTCTGGGTGAAGAAATTCCTTCTCAGTTCAGTCCCAAATTTGCTCCCTCTAATCTTGAGGCTATGCCCTCTTGTCCTAGCTTCACCTGCCAGTGGAAACATCCTCTCTACTTCTATCTTATCTATTCCCTTCATAATTTTATATGTTTCTATAAGATCCCCCCTCAATCTTCTGAATTCCAATGAATATAATCCCAATCTACTCAGTCTCTCCTCATAAGCCAACCCCCTCAACTCCGGAATCAACCTAGTGAACCTCCTTTGCACCCCCTCCAGTGCCAGTACATCCTTTCTCAAGTAAGGAGACCAAAACTGCACACAGTACTCCAGGTGTGGCCTCACCAGCACCTTGTACAGCTGCAACATAACCTCTCTGCTTTTAATCTCAATCCCTTTAGCAATGAAGGACAAAATTCCATTTGCCTTCCTAATTACTTGTTGTACCTGCAGACCTACCTTCTGTGATTCATGTACAAGGACACCCAGGTCCCTCTGCATAGCAGCATGCTGCAACTTTTTACCATTCAAGTAATAATCCTTTTTACTATTACTCCTACCAAAATGTATGACTTCACATTTATTTACGTTGTATTCCATCTGCCAGACCTTTGCCCACTCACTCAATGTATCTATGTTCCTCTGCAAAGTTTCACAGTCCTCTGCACACTTTGCTCTGCCACATCTGCAAACTTTGACACCCGACACGTGGTCCCCAGCTCCAAATCATTTATATAAATTGTAAATAATTGCGGTCCCAACACCGATCCCTGAGGTACACCGCTAGTCACTGACTGCCAGCTAGAATAGCACTCGTTTATCCCCACTCTTTGCTTCCTGTTAGTCAACCAATCCTCTATCCATGCTAATATTTTACCCTTAATGCCATGCATCCTTATCTTATGCAGTAGCCTCTTGTGCAGCACCTTGTCAAAGGCCTTTTGGAAGTCTAGGTACACCATATCCACTGGGTCCCCATTGTCCACCTCGCTCGTAATGTCTTCATAGAATTCCAAAAGATTTGTCAAGCATGACCTGCCCTTCATGTACCCATGCTGCGTCTGCCCAACGGGACAATTTCTATCAAGATGCCTTGCTATTTCTTCCTTGATAATAGACTCAAGCATCTTCCCCACTACAGAGGTTAAGCTAACCGGTCTATAATTCCCCATCTTTTGTCTACTTCCCTTTTTAAACAGTGGCGTCACGTTTGCTGTTTTCCAATCTGCTGGGACTGCCCCAGAGTCCAGTGAATTTTGGAAAATTACCGCCAGTGCACCTGCTATTTCTCCCGCCATCTCTTTTAGTACCCTGCGATGCATTCCATCAGGGCCAGGAGACTTATCAATCCTTAGCTCCATTAGCTTGCCCAACACTACCTCTTCCGTAATAATGGTTGTTTCCAGGTCCTCACCTACCTTCGTCTCTTTGTCTATTACTGGCATGTTATTAGTGTCCTCCACTGTGAAGACCGATACAAAATACCTGTTCAATGCCTCGGCCATTTCATCATATCCCATAACTAAATTCCCCTTCTCATCCTCTAAAGGGCCAACGTTTACTTTAGCCACTCTTTTTCGTTTTATATATTTATAGAAACTTTTCCTATCTGTCTTTATATTCTGTGCTAGTTTTTTCTCATGTTCTATCTTACTTTTCCTTATAGCTCTTTTTGTGGCTTTCTGTTGACCTTTAAAGTTTTCCCAATCTTCTAGTTTCATGCAGTTTTTGGCCGCTTTGTACGCCTTCCCTTTCAATTTGATAGCCTCCCTTATTTCTTTAGACACCCATGGCAGATTACCCCTTTTCTTACAGTCCTTCCTTTTCATTGGAATATACTTTTGCTGAGCACTTTGAAAGATTGCTTTGAAAGTCCTCCACTGCTCGTCAACTGTCCCACCATAAAATCTTTGTTTCCAGTTTACTTTAGCCAAGTCCTCCCTCATTCTATTGTAGTTCCCCTTGTTCAAGCACAGGACCCTGGTATTGGATTTTATCTTCACACTCTCCATCTGTATTCTAAATTCAACCATACTGTGATCACTCCTTCCAAGAGGATCCCTAACTATGAGGTCATTAGTTATTCCTGTCTCATTACACAGGACCAGACCTAGGATAGCTTGCTCCCGCGTCGGTTCCATTACATACTGTTCAAGAAAACTATCACGGATACACTCAACGACCTCCTCCTCAAGGCTACCCTGACCGAGCTGGTTCGACCAATCTACATGTCGGTTAAAATCCCCCATGATAATTGCCGTACCATTTTTACAGGCATTAGTTATTTCTTTGTTTATTGCCCGCCCCAATGTGATGTTATTATCCGGTGGCCTATAGACTACGCCTATCAGTGACTTTTCCCTCTTAGAATTTCTAATTTCCACCCAAATGGATTCAACCTCATTCTCCATAGAACCTATGTCATCTCTCAGCACCGTCCTGATGGCGTCCTTGAATATCAGAGCTACACCACCTCCCTTACCTTCCCGTCTGTCCTTCCGAATAGTCTGGTACCCTTGGATATTTAACTCCCAGTCGTGACCATCCTGTAACCATGTCTCCGTAATGGCTACCAAATCATATTCATTCGCGATGATTTGTGCCGTGAACTCATCAACCTTGTTACGAATGCTACGAGCATTCAGGTAAAGTGCCTTTATGCTAGCTTTCTTACCCTCATGATTTCCAACATCTCGAATAATATCTCCTGAGTTATCCTTCCTTTTTGCTTCTTTCGTAGTCTGCCTTGAACTTAAACCCTCCTGCACACATGCTGACCTGCTGCTTACCTTATTATTTACCATCATACTCCCTGTCGTTTTCCCTTTCCTTTCCCCCCAACTCACGAGTTTAAAGTCCTAGTGACCAAGAGGCCTCACCAACGTCCCTGTACAACCTCGACGTGATGTCCCCAGCCCCTACACTCAAAGGGTCTGAGCGATGAAGGCAAGCGTGCCAAACGCCTCCTTCCCCACCCTGTCTACCTGTGACGCTAACTTCAAAGGATTATGTCCCTGAAGCTCCCCCTCGGTCTCTCTGTTCCACAACACCACCCCAAGGCCCTACTTTTAACTGTACAAGTCCTGCCCCTTGTTTGTTTTAGCGACACGTCGCGTTTATCCGAATTAAACTCCATCTGCCCCCTCCTCGGCCCGTTGACCCAACGGATCGAGATCCCTGTGTAATCTTGGAGAAACCTTCCTCACTGCCCACTACGCCCCCGATCCTGGTGCCATCTGCAAACTTACTCACCGCGCCCCCTGTATCCTCATCCGAATCGATGATATAAATGACTAACAACAGTGGACCCAGAAATTGTCTATGTCTGTGTCTCTGCATGCATGCCCATGCATGTCCAACTGTGTGCCAGTCCATACTCAGACCCTCACCCTCTGGCACTCCCTCCTGCAACTCTTGGAGCAGAAACGCGAGAATCTCATCACGCGGACCTCCAACGCCGGGGAGTTCAAGCTGCTCGACTGTAGGGACTGCACAAGAACGAGACACAAATGAACTATGACAAGCTCAGACCCCGCTCTTAGATATCACTATGGCAAGGTAAAGATGGATAATTCCTGAGGTCCAATTGGGCACGGCGCTCCGAGTGTGGGTCTGACCGAGGGACGGGGAGACGGGAACTGTGCACAAGACCAGTTCCCCAGGCTGAGGCCCCACAGGGAGAGGAACAGCCAATAAGAGCTGGGCACTCTCACCACCAATCACTGGGCTGCGTTGAGTTTCCCTTCCTGTTGACGGGCCACACCATTGGTCACCTCCAGCCAGGCTACTCATTGGACAATGGCCTGGATCACCAGCTCCCTTATTTGACCTTTGACTGGCAATGGTGATCTCTGATTGGTCAATTAACATCGAAGGGAGCTGTCTGATTGGGCAGTTGGCTGGGGATCAACTGGACTGACTTCAGATGGCGTGGTGGGTTGATTTCGGGAATTTAAGCGTGGAATTGGGATCCCATCGGAGGGACTGTGTGCCGGTGTTGGTCCATGAGGGGTGGGCGGAGGGAGAGAGATCTCGGGGGGGGTTATGTCTGGAGGGACAAGGGGCAAAGATGAGACGGAATGGACACCGAGGCCGGACACCAACACAAGGTGAGTGTAGGCCTCCCTCCACTTGCACCCTACTCTGGCATCTGGGTGGTTTTTATCTCGGGCCTGTGTCCGTGACGTTCCTCCCCTCCCCACATACAGAGAGAGAGAGAGAGACGGGATCCGGGTCTCGGAGAAATCCCTGAAGAGTTGGGGTGGGAGAGGTGAAGGGTTTCCGCCTTCGTTTGTCCACTTTCCCCTCCCCGGGCCTGTTTTCGTTGAAGTCGGGAGCCATCTTGTCTTCGTCGAAGCTGGCGTTGTGTTGGAGAGGGGAGAAAGGGGGACAATTTTGACATGCAAGATGGAGGTTTCACGACAGGACGTTTAAAGGTGGTCAATTTGTAAAGTTGTGGGGGGGTGCGGTTTTGTGTGGGGG